TTTTTCTTTTGTATCATTCCCTTAGTCTCTGTTACATTGATTTCTGATCTTTATAATTCCCCCTCTTGTATGAGCTTTGGGTTTGTCCTGCTCTTCTTTGCTAGAAGTTTTACATTCAGCATCAAGTTGTTTAATAGAGGTTGCTCTCTGTTTCCCTTATATGATTATTTGCTGCCATGAGTTTCATTCATAAGACTGCTTTTATTGTGTCCCATAGATTCTGATATGTTGTATTGTCATTGTCACTTAATTGTAGGAACTGTCTGATTTCTTCTTTAATTTCCTCTGTGACCCACTGGTTACAAGTGTGTGTTCAATTTCCATGTGCTTATGAAACTCTTGCAGTTTCTTTTGCTATTTATAACCAATTTATTTGCACTGTGATATGATTATGTATAGAGAATCACTTCAATTCCTTTATACTCACTTAGACATGTTCTATGAGTGAATATGTGTTCTATTCTGGATAATGACTCATGTGCAGCTGAAAAGAATGTGTATTCTAATTTTATGTAGTCAAACACTCTGTAACCACCTGTTAAGTTCATTTAAGAGTCTGAGTTCTACTATTTTGTTGTTTTTTTTTTTGTCTAGTCGATGTATCCATTTGTGACAGTGGGATATTAAAGTCCACCAGTACTCTTTTCTTTTTCTCATTGAATTTATTGGTACATTTTAGGTATACAGTACAGTTACATTCATTATTGGGATCTTGTACCTTTACATGACAGGTCTTGGTTCTCATTTTTACCCCTTATCCCTGCCCTCCCTTCAACCCCTCTTACCCTCCCCATTTACAGACATTTTATTTCCTTTTTTTCATTTTCTCATATTTTTTCTTTTCCCTTATTACCTTTCCCCTACCCTTCCCACTTTCCATACACCTTTAGCCCTTTTCTTCCCATTTCACAATGTCAGTTATCTTATTAGGATCTTATGTACTATTACAGTTTATTCACACCAGAGAAACTATTCTGTATTTAGACATGTGTGACTTATTTATTTCACTTACGAGTACATCCTCAATATGTATCCATTTTCCTATGAATGAGTCTAATTTCTCATTCTTTAGGGCTGAGTAGTATTCCATTTTAGAGAAAAACCACATCTTTATCCAGTCTCCAACTGATGGGCAAATTCATTTGGAACCATAAAAGACCTAGAATAGCAAAAGCCATCTTAGGCAACAGACACATGGTAGAATGTATAACAATTCCCAATGTGAAACTATACTACAAAGCCACTGTGATAAAAACAGCATGGTACTGGCAAAGAAACAGACCTGAGGATCAGTGGAACAGATTGAAAGACACAAAAACAACTCCAGATGTACTCACCTGCCTCATCTTTGACAAAGGAGCTGACCATCCCCACTGGAGGAAGGATGGCCTCTTTAATAAATGTTGTTGGAAAAACTGGATCTCCACCTGCCAAAGATTAATTTCTCATTCTTTATGGCTGAGTAGTATTCCATTTGTATTAGTGCTTATTTGATTTTTCATGTTCATTAGTATTTGATTTATATAGTTGGACACACTAGAGTTTGTTGCATAAATATTTATGATTGTCATCTCTTCATCTTGGATTTTTCCCTTACAAGGACGTATTGTCCTTCTTTGTCTCTCTTAATCAATGTTGATTTGAAATTCACTTGATCTGCAAAGATCTTTTTGGTGGGTTCCTGTGGCATGGAGTATTGTTTTCTGCCCTTTAACTTTCAGTCTGTGAGTTTCTTTTTGAATTAAGTATGTTTCTAGTATGTAGCATATTGTTGGATCTTGCTTCTTGACCCATTCTGCCAGCCTATTTCTTTTGATTGGTGAATTGAGACCATTAACATTGATGGTCTCAATTATAACTAGTATATGCTGACTTATCCTCATCATGACTTTTTTGTTGTTGTTGTGGGATTCTTATCTTTTACATTTAATTTCTTGTTGTCCCTGATGGATTCATGGTGCTGGGCTTCCTGGGGTTTGACTTTCATTGTCTTTTCCTAGAACATTAACAATTTTTGAGTGCTGGTTTGGTATTCATGATGTTTCTCAGGTGCTCTTTGCCATGAAGGTATCTTATTTCTCCATCAATTTTGAAAGAGAGTTTTACAGGATACATCAATTTGGGTTGAAGTCTGCTTTCTGTTAGGGCTTGAAATATATTGCTCCAAGCTCTTCTTGACTTGAGGGTTTGTGTTGAGAAGTCTGCTGTGATTCTGATGGGCTTTCATTTGTGTGTATTTGTTTCTTTTCTCTAACTGCTTGTAGAATTTTGTTCTGTTCAGTTTCTGGAATCTTGACTATTATATGCCTATGTGTAGAATTTTTTTTATCATGGCTAGTTTGAATGCTATATGCCTCAGTTATCTGTATGTCCAAATATTTTCCCCTACTCAGGAAGTTTTCTGCCATTACATCTGTGAACAATTTTTTTTTTAGTGACATGTGCACACTCTCCTGTTTCTTCATTACCTCTGATCACTCTTATGTTATTCTTTGCATCACCTAGTAGCTGCTGAATTGATTTCTCATGGTCCCTAACTATTTTTAAGACATTTTTCTTTTCCTAGTCACTATTGCAATCCTGCCTTCTATATCCAAAATTCTGTCCTTACATTGACTCATTCTGCTGTGTAAATTTTCTTTCAGTGGAGTTTTTAATCTCCTGGAAATCTGTTTGCATCCGTTTATGAAATACAGTTGTTTCCTATGTTGTGATTGCATCATGTTGCTCAGCTCCTCTATTTTTATCTGTGTCTGCTATAGATTTATTAATAATCTTTTGCACTATGGGCACAATATCTGGTATTATCTGATGAATTGTTTTTTATTTCATTTTTTTACAGATCCTGTTTTGTTGCCAGTTCAGGGAATTCAGGTAGTTGATTATCACACTGTTCCATCCTATTTCCCTTTGGGGTTGCCTTAGGAGATCTGGAAGTCTGGTTTTGAGACTTGTTTATGTGTTTTCTCATTTCAATAAATGCAGTCTGCTGATCCTTTGTTGAGGCAACTTTTTGCTCACCCAGGGGTCTTCATTTCTCATCAAGCCACCAAGCAGCCTTTTTCTGCTGCTCACCAGTACTCAACTCCTGGGTTCTGAATCAGAATGGTGACCTCCTGGATCCCTGAGCTGACCTGTTTTCTGTGTGTGCTTCTGGTTGGGACCTATGCACACTGGGGGTGGTATCAAGGTGTGCCCCTGGCTAGGGCCCCTATGTAGCTGTTTTCTGGAAGGCCTTTGGCTGGGGGCTGTGAGCCTGTTTCTATTGTCTGAGCAGGTTTCTGGCTAGGGTCTCCATGCACTTACCAATGGTATTGGGGTGAGCCTCTTGCTGTTGTTTGTGAGCCCTGTGCAGCTTTTTTCCAGGCAGGCCCTTGTCTTTTGGCCTGTGTACTCAATTCCTTGGCTTTGGGGCTGGGTTGTGGCTGGGATCTGCCTACAGCTGTGCTGCTCTGGTCCACACTGCTGCTCACCAGGATCTGTGCACACTTGCAGATGCTATGGGGCAGGCCTCTGCCTGAAGCTTCTATGCCTGTGCTGCTCTTTTCTGTGTGGGCCTTTGGCTTGGGCCTCTATGCCCATGCCTCTGGGGTTGGGACAAAGACCTGGCTAGGTTCTGCCTGCAGCAGAGCTGTTCTGGTCCATTGCTGCTCCCCAGGATTTGTGTGCACTTTTGAGATGCCTTCTTGTTGTTTCTTTTAAATGGCTAATGAAAAAGTTGAAAGTGAGCAGTGAGTATATGTTTTTGGGAATACCACAATACAAATTGGGGCCAACTAACTGAGAGGCACAGCAGAGAAGTATGCAAAAAAATGCTTTTTTCCAGAATAAGAAGAGCTCATTCAGTACACCTGAGCTCCACACACCAGAATGACATCTGGTTTCCCAAGTCTTCCATCAGGATGCAGCATAATTTGGTGACAGCCTTTTTCACCTGATATGCTCTCCTAAGGACTGTTCTCTAAAGGAAATTTAACTGCTGTGTCTGATTGCCTTAACTCTCAGCAGTGTCTGCTCTCTGAATGACCATGAAGTTGACAGAGCCCTTCCAATCAGTGAGCTGAGACTCCTATTAGTCTTAGGAATCACAGAAAGACAACTTCAAAGCATTCCAGGTAAAGAAGAAAATTAGGTCTTAAAATATTTCAATGATTCCAGAGCCAGAGTCAATGGACCATTCCCTCCCTCACCTTATCTGTCCTACTGCTCTTGTTCATTAAATATCAGTGAATATTCCCAACAACTCTCCAGGAGATTGAATATCTGAATGAGAAAGATCATCAGAAAGTTATCTATGCCTGTAAAACCAGGGAATAGTCCTGCTAAATAGAGAGGAACCACTCAGGGAAAGAAGTCTACATCTTCACTTAGTTTATAATTTGGCCTGTTCAGAACTTCTAAAATTTCACGAAAGGGAATGTAAAAGAAAAAATATCTACAGAACTTGTAACCCCCAACTCCTTCAAATATGACTTAGTGTTCCTTTATGGACAGTTCAGTGTCAAAGCTGGAGCTGCGTGTAAAGGTAGCGCTGTAAGAAATAAGCTTCTTGGAAACTTTCTGATAGTTCAAGAAATAAGCCCCTCAGAAGTTTCCAGCTACACAGTGATTTTTTTTTTAATTCTAAGTTGTCATAGATCATTAAGTTCCAGCTTCTGCCAGGAATGGAGAACACCAGCGGTCAAGACACACATTCAGAGAAATAAACATATTTCCTTCGAGATCATGATTATTAATATAAATGTAATTCGAAATGGATTGGAAATGTGATTCTGCCACATTTTGTGACAATTACTAAAGATCAGAAGGTTTTCCAGTACCTAAAGGATGTTGGAAATGGGAAACTTTGTTTGTAATCCTGTGGAGTAGGAGCACAGAAACTTTCAGAAAGTCTTAGAATTCAGTTAAGCGCTTCTGCTTAATACTACGATGACCTTGGTAACGTTAACGAGCTACCTGTATCTCAATTTGGGATTGTTGTGACATATTTCTTTTCTTTTTTTAATATGGAACGCTTCACAAATTTACATGCCACCCTTGCACAGGGGCTGTGCTAATCTTCTCTGTATAGTTCCGATTTTGGTATATGTGTTGCCGAAGTGAGCACCCTTACAATATATTTCTAACATAGCCTATAAATATGTTTAACACAGTGGCTGATTGATAGATAATATTACAAAAAGGCTCAGGTATTCACAGATGAGGCTTTTGGAAGGTGGTTAGATGATGGGGATGCTGTTTGAGGCAGGGGATTAATCCATCAGTGAGTCCATAGCTGAATGTTCCCTTAGCAGGCAGGAGCTTGTTGAAAGAGGTGTGTCACTGGAGGCAGGACCTGGAAGGGTATATTCTGTCCCAGCCCCTTCTTACCTCCCTGGCTCGCTTACTTTCTCCTGTTTGTAGCCAAGATGAGGTGAACATTTTTCCCAACAGATTGTCTCTACCATGATGTTTCTGCCATGGACTCCACCAAACAGGGTATGAAGCCTCTGAAACTGTGAACCAAAACATATTTGTTCCATGAGAATGGCATTAGATATTTTGGCCCAGGAACAGAAAGTCGACAAATACTCTGGTACATACACATTACTAAGAAGGTGCTAATTTTATGGATCTAAGAATGGAAAAGTGATAACATTGGTAATGATGATTTATTTTAATGAATAAAATCCCTCCAATAGCATCTCTATTTCAGCAAAGAAATTGTCACTTGCCTCAAGAGATTCTTAACCTAACTCCCATGTATCTTTCTGTCTTATTTCGTATTGTGTACATTAAAAGCTTTTCTTTCAGTTTATATGCAATGTCTTTAGAAATGTCTTACATTTTCTTTTCTTGTTTTGATACCGGGGATCGAACTCTCTTGTGCTTGCGAGGCAGGTGGCAGCACCACTGAGCTAAATCCTGGCCCTAGAAATGTCTCATATTTTCTAATCAAAATATCATTTTTGGGCTGTGGATGTGGCTTAGTAATAGGCCATTTGCCTAATAAAATATCATTTATTCAATGCATCTGCTCACCCCTCTGTACCCAATCTCTTTCTCTGTTTTATTCCAGTTCCCTGAAATAATGCCCTCGCGGGAAGTGTTCTGGTGGTTGGGTCACGAAAGAGCTTCCTTGTAATCACTGTTCACTGTACATGTGACATAAGTGTGTATGATTTGTGTAGACCTTTCAATCATCTCAAAAGAATTATTCATTTCTGAATAAAGAAGTTATATCCATTATAGCTATATTCTGGGATAGCACTTTTTTTTTTATAAAAATGAAAAAAACATTTTATGTTTTAGTCCAAAATAAATATAGTGCCTAGTCACTATTAAACTCATTTGCCAATCACTTTTTAGAATAAAAAGTTAGAACTTGTTTTCTCAGCATCAACATTTTAGTTTTCTCATTTATTACACTGTCATTCATCATTTATTCTTTCATACACAAATATTAATTAAATTATCTTAGAACCCTATTTGTTGGACAGAATTTAGCAAGAAAGACCAATCTACTCTTTATCTTTGGGAAGCTGAATTTTAGAGAATCAGACACATAAAAAGCTAGTTATTGTTCAGGGCGATCAACGTTCCAATAGTGTATTACCAAACCAGGAGGCCATGGGTGACAAAAAGCAAGACGTATACATAGAAAGGAGGAAAGAATGAAAGTGGAGAAGTTAGAGGATGGTAGGTTAGATGGCGATAGATGAATAGGCAGGTAGATAAGGAGACAGACTGATGCTTTAAAAAAATATCTAGGGTCTCTTTTTCTTAAGACTTGTGCTTCCTTCTGAAATCATCTCTCTTTAAAAAATGATTTTCAGAAATTATTGTAGTGCATGTCTGTGAGGAATAAAATCTCTGTGATTTTTTGAAACAAATACAATTATTTTCCCTTATTTTTAAGTCAAATTGTAAATTATGAGTGAGGCATGGTGGCGCACACCTGTAATTCCAGCATTCAGAAGGCTGAGGCAGGAGGATCACTGTGAGTTCAAGACCAGCCTGGGCTACATAGTGAGTTCCAGGTCAGTCTCAACTACATAGTGTGACCATGTCTCAAACAGCAACAACAAAAAATGTGAATTATGGCTTTATATAAATTGAAATGGGCTAATTTTAATAAACATGTTTATAAATTTGAGTAAAATTATAGATAGGGTAACCTAGAACAACATAAAGTGAATGTTTCCAGGAGACCAAAAAATTCCTCTCTTCTATATACTGGTCAAGGAGCTACATTAGACCATCGCTGGTCTGGAGTCTAACTACAGAACGGAAGTATCTTTCTAGGGTCTAACTACAGAACGGGAGTATCTTTCTATATAGCTCCGTATTTATCAAACCACACAGTAGCTATATTTGGTGTCAAGATTCATTGGTTTCACAAAATGTTTCTGAGATCCTTTACTGAATCAGTAGTTTTTGTATTTTTATTGCTGATTAGAATCTAATGCATAAATATAAAATAATTTCTCTATCCCCGTGTTGTTCAATTTTAATCCAGTTTTTCGCCACTGTCCTAAAAATATGCCATGAATATTTGTGTGCAAGACTATATGTTTTCAATTTCCTCCATACATACTTAAGAGTGTAATTTCTAGATCGAAAACGTAGATGGATGTTACACCGTACTACAAATTGCCTAAATACGTCAAACAGCTATTGTACCATTTTACATCTAATACCACTCACCAGCAATATTGCTATGAAATCTTCCCCACATGCCATACTTTTTAAAATTTCAGTGGTTAAATGTTTCAAGAGTTCCATAACATTATTATTTTAATTAACATTCTTCTAATGACCAATTACTGTTAAGCAAAGCTGCCTTCTGATCTTTTGCGTGTCTTTCTGCACCGTGCGCAAACTTTGGGCTGTTCTTTCCTTTATATGTTTTCTAAATGATAGGAATTGACTTGAATTTTTTGGCATGCAATTCTGTCAATTTTAGCACAAGGTTAGTTTTATAATCACTGAAAAGTGGTGCCCTGTAGTTGTCACTATGCAGTCATATCTCACCAGAAATAACCATGAAACTTGCGACTTGTTTTTCATTTCTATTGTTTTGTATTTCCCGGAATTAAACATAAATTTAATCACACAGTAATAGACATACAGAGTCTGTCTTTCCCTTGTATAATACTACTGAGTTTATTCAAATGATGATGTGCCTGCATTGGTTAATGAATCCAGTACACAAGAACATTTCACTACAAGGAGGCACCACTGTTTATGTGCCACATCCTGAAGGACAGAGTGGAGGAGGGTTTGGGTAACTATGAGTACAGCTCTTCTAAACATTTGCCTATATCTTTTTTGTGAAGGTGAATTTTCATTCTCTAGGTTAAACACTTAAGAGTACAATTGCTGGATACTGCCAATATTTTGGGGTGTTTTATTCTTAATTTAATTAAAGATAAAATTCATAATTAAAGAGTTATTTACTTCAGACATGAGTTCTTTAGCAGATGTGGCAGTCTAAATAAAGTCCCATCCTCAGAAGTATCTTCCTCCCCCTCCAAGTCATCACTGAAAGCTGTAAATGTTACCCTGAAAGACAAAAAGATTTGCTGATGTATTAGAGGATCCTGAGATCGGAGGTCATCCTAAATTATTGGGGAAGACTATCCATGCAATCAGTTTGTTTTTTAATAAAAGAGGCAAGATTATGAAAAGAGGAAGCATTCCATAAAACAATGGGTATAGGAAATCGGAGAAATGCAAGGCTGTATAATCCAAAGAATGTAGATCATCTCTCCTGAAGGTGGAGAAGGCAGGGACGTGGTGCTCCTCCTTAAGGGCATAGAAATCAGAACTTTCTGCTCACACCTTAACTGAACTCAGTGACCCAAATCTCGGAAGCCAGACCTCCAGTGTGTGAGCAGCTCACCCCTTATAAGCATTAACTTTGTGTTAATATGGCACACAGCATATTAGATATGTGATTCACAAATATTTTCAGTCAATCCATGTGTTGTGTATTAACTTTCAAGGACAGATTTTATTTCTGACTCATTTCATTTTACTCTTTGTTTTTCTTTTATTCATGTTCTTTAATTTTACCTAAGAAATCTTTGTCTAATTCAAACAAAATAAACAAGATTTTCTCCTGTCTTCTAGCATTTGTATAATTTTAGATTTCACATAAAGGATATAATCTATTTTGAGATTATTTTATATGATAAAAAGGTAGGAATTTTTAAAATTTTGGTTTCATTATGTGGTGAAAAGTATCATATCTTGTAGAGTTTTGTACCTGTGTCTATAATGAATTGCCAAAATGCCAGTCTGTTTTTAGTTCTTTTTTCTGTTGATTTTTAATATTGTAAATATTATGAAATTTTAAATTTGCACTTTCTAATTCTCATTTCCAGTATAAAAATATTTAATTTTATGTGTTTGTAACATGTAGTATTGTTAAACATATATTAGATCTTATGTACAATATATTCATTATTTTCTGCCTAGACAATTGTACTGTTCATAGAAAACAACAGTATGAATCTCCCTCTACAAAGTGCATTCTTTCATTTTTCTTTCCTTTTTTCCTTATCTTATTTCATCAGTTAGGATCTCCACTACAACATCATATAGAGAAACTAAGAACATAGGGACTGGGAGTGTAACTCAGTGGTAGATTTGCCCGGCACTCATAAGGCCCTGAGTTCAATCCACAGATTAAAAAAAAAAAAAAAAAAAAAGCTAAAAAAAACTCTTATGAATAGTAAGAATACATATCCTTGCTGATATCATGGGCAAGATATTAGTCTTCTAAACATTACATTTGTAGGTTTTTGTTGATACTCTTTTGCAAATAGAAAGTATTAATTAATAAGCCTAACTTGGTAAACATTTTGATAATACATATATATTTAGAATTTATCTGATGCTTTATTATCATTTATTGATATACATCTGTATTTTTTGTTTTAGCATATACTATTTTGAATGAATTTTAAATGATAAAATATTAATATTTATTCCTGGGATAAGCCCTATTTGACATGATGTATTATGCTTTTCATATATATGATAGCTCACTTTGTTAACATTTGATAAGAATGCTATTTTTATCACTGGTTCTTATTATATCCTCCAAATAATTCAATATAA